GTGCCACCACAACACCAGAGAAAGATTAAAGAATAGACTGAACAAGATTATAGTGAAGAAGCTGAGTCTTGGGTCCTGGTCAGTGCTGATGGCAGCAAAGACAAAAGCCCCCCAGCAATCCAGTATTTATTGATTGAGTACAATCTTGAGAAGGAATAGGGAGCTAGGGAGCTTTGAAGTCATGTAGTGAATTACTGCCAAACACTTGGCATGATGGCACCGGGCCGGGCTGTCAGGGAGTCGGCACTGCTTATCTTGCTAGGATAGAAGAAACCGGTACTGGGACCAGGAGCAATTAGCGAGTAACCCACAATGTCAGTGAGAAGCAATAACTCAGGGGAAAGGATTTTAATTGGGGTCACGCTGACCTCAGTGCACATAATTCAGCGGGGCCTTGCCATTTCACAGATCAGGACTTAGGTCTCTGTGACAGCCATTAGCAAAGGAGCAATACTAGCCCAACTGTTAGCTGACATGCCCGTTTGAGTCATGCAGGGCTTCAGTCTGACTCCTGGTATAAAACAGTATAGCTGGATTAGGAAAGACAAGAAGCACATGCCACTCATAGTCTGCTAGTACTGGGCAGGATGTCTCCTACAGATCCATTCAATAAAAATTATGTAGCTGTGTTAAAAGTGAGGCGCAGAAACCATGTACACACTACACTATCATTTGTGAAGCAAAAGAAATGTATACATAGGGCTGGGGCTGTAGCTCAGAGTGCTTGCCTAGTAGACACAAGGCTGTGGTTTCTGCTCCCAGTACTACTGCAGCATGCACACATAAACACATTCTTCTTGAATATAACAGACTGTGGAAATGACAATCCAGAACTAAGGGAAAGGGAAGTAAGAGAATTTTGACCTCATACTCTTAGATCAGGGTTCTTCACCATTTTTGTTCCATGGAGTCCTTTGACAATTTACTCATGCCTGTGGATCCCTTCTTAGAATATTGATTAAATGCATAAAATAAATAGGTACAAATTATACCAACTGTACTGAAATACAGTAATTAAAAGTTTTAAATTGTATTAGAGCTAGTACGGTACACTCTGTAATACTAGCATTTGGGAGGCTGAGGCAAGCGCAAGGTCATGAGTTTGATCCCTGGTATATATAAAAAAAAGATCAGAGTAGAAATTAATGCAATTGAGACTAAGAAAACAATACAAGGAATAAATTAATCAAAAAGTTGGTTTTGGCAGGACATGGTGGCGCACGCCTGTAATCCCAGCACTCGGGAGGCTGAGGCTGGAGGATCGCTGTGAGTTCGAAACCAGCCTGGGCTACATAGTGAGTTCCAGGTCAGTCTCAACTATACAGTGAGACCCTGTCTCAAAAAACAAACAAAAAAAGAGTTGGTTTTTTTAAAGATCCCACCAAACAGAATGCAGCAAATCAAGATTATATGCCACGACTGAGTAGTATTCATCCCAGAGATATAGGGGGTGGTTCAACATATACACATCAATATATGTATCAGTCTCAAATACAGTGAGACCCTGTCTCAAAAAACAAACAAAAAAAGAGTTGGTTTTTTTAAAGATCCCACCAAACAGAATGCAGCAAATCAAGATTATATGCCACGACTGAGTAGTATTCATCCCAGAGATATAGGGGGTGGTTCAACATATACACATCAATATATGTATATTAATAGAGCCAAGGACAAAAGCCATATGATCTTCTCAATAGATGCAGAAAAAGCATTTGACAGAGTCCAACACCCATTCATGAAAAAATCCCTACAGAAAGTTGAAATAGATGGTCTTTATCTCAATCTGATAAAAGACATCTATGACAAACCAACAGCCAACATCACCCTAAATGGACAAAAACTAAAAGCTTTCACTCTAAAATCAGGAAAAAGACAAAGATGTCCACTATCACCATTCTTATTCAATATAGTTCTGGAAACAGCCAGAAGAATTAGACAAGAGAAAGAAATAAAAGCTGTAAGGATAGGAAAGGAAGACGTTAATTTATCATTATTTGCAGATGACATGATACTCTACAAAAAAGACTCCAAAAACTCCACCAAAGGACTTCTAGGTTTAATAAGCAAATACAGTTGTAGAGCTGGATACAAAGTCAGCACTCAAAGATCAAGAGCCTTCCTATACACAAATAACAAACTCACTGAGAGAACAATTAGGGAAACCACACCTTTCACAATAGCATCCAAAAAATGAACTACTTAGGAGTCAAAATTATGAAGGAAGTAAAAGACCTTTACAACTATAGCACCCTGAAAAAGGAGATCAAAGAAGATAGCAGAAAATGAAGGTATCCCTTACTCTTGGGTAGGAAGAATCAATATAGTGAAAATGGCCATACTTCCAACATTGTTACACAGATTTTATGCAATTTCAATCAAAATTCCAATAGCATATCTCACAGAATTAGAAAAACACATGGATGCTCTGTGCACCCTCCCTGTATCTTGCCCTAAGCATCCCTTCCATTTGGCCGTTTCAGAGTAATAGTCTCTAAACTGTTAATAGTAAGCATGAAACCAAATAATAAAAAAATGAAGCAGTATTACATGTACTGATTTGGAATACTTTCTAAGACATATTAGGTGAAAAAAGTAAATGCAGACAGTGTGGGAAGAGTTCAACCCATGTAAGATAAAAGCAGTCACTCTGAGGAGGGGAAGTAAATGGCTTTGGGGCCAAAATAAAAGGAATAGAGAGTAGCACTCCTTTTTCATTTTTAAAATCATGCTCATATATCTTTATAAAATCTTTACAATATAAATTTTAATTTTTTATGAAAAAGGATCTACAGGTTTGAATCTGGAATGGTAACTGCAATGTATAAAGAATAAAAAGTTGCAGAGTAATCTACTCACAGTGCAATCCCATTTATATTAAGACACTAAATAAAACCAAGAAGTATGGATAAAAAGTAAACAATATAAGCAAACTATTTTTGAGTTCTGTGAGCTGGCCTAGCAAATTATCAAACTGGGGGGAACCCGATTTGTAGCAATCAGAAGTGTGGGTAACTGGGAACAAATACTTGGCAATTGCCATTTGAAGTGAAAGCAGCCTTGTGTAACTACTGCCAGGTGGAGGGTCCCCTGGGATTCTTTCCAAGTTCTTAGTGTCCTGGACAAAGAATCAGACAAAAGACACAAGAGTGTACATTTATTGAAGGCAGAAGAGGTGCCTTCTGCAGGACATAAGCAGGCTGGTGAAAAGATTCAGAAACCCTGAGGATAAGGGAAAAGGACCTTTTGCACCCAAAATTCCTGGATTGGCTTTTCCCTCATGCAATTAAGACATTGGGATAGTTTTCCTAGCAAAAACTCACTTAGCCTGGTGCCAGATTTAAACTGCCCTGTCGAAAGATTGACTTGGCTTCCCACCAGATCTAAATAAAGTATTGAAAATAATGCTGATCGGTTCCATGTACTGTACTCAGGAACTAGTTATTTTGGTCCTGAGTTGTGCACATCTCCTAAGTTTTTATGACTTTGACACATTCCAGCCAGTTAATTCTCTGGTTTGCCTCAGCCCTAATCTATCTCAGGTTTGAGCCCTAAAACCTGTGGAGTCTTATGCTAACGCTGGTATCTTAGTTACTTTCTCATTACTGGGACAAAAATACCCCATATTCACAAGTTAAAGGTTTATTTTAGCTCATAGTTTGTAAGGGTTTTAGTCCATAGTCGGCTGGCTCCAAGGCAGGGTAGCATGGCAGAGGAGTAACAGTTCATGGCATGGCAGACAGGAAGAAGCTAGACATACTTCTTTATTCCCTTTTTATTCCATCCAGGCTATATAAGCCTGGTTGGTGCCACTCACATCCAGGGTGGGTCTTCCCTCTTCAATAAATCCAAAATCTCTATCAAGAACTATGGTAGAGGCCGGGGATTTAGCTCAGTGGCGCCACCACCTGCCTTGCAAGCACAAGGTCTTGAATTTGATACCAGAAAAACAAAAAAACCAATGCTAAACCAATCAGTGGATTGATCCAGTATCACATGCCCATAATCCAGTCACTCCCCAAAGCCCCACCTATGAACACGTGAGGCTTTGCGGGGGGGCGCTTCTAGATATAAGCCTTAACAGCTGGATAGTGTCAGTATTGACTTGTAGGACACTAGTTGGTGTTCATAAACAATTTGAGAATCACTTTGTGTTGAAAACCTCTACATATTTGGTGTCAGAAGTATTAGGAGTAAAGGTAGCTATTATAGTGGCTTTTCATTAGATAATGCAAGGTTAAAATCTTTTTCATGCCTTATTGTATCACCATGGGCAGGTCATAGTCTGACTGAGCCTTTTAGATTTGGAATGTAGTGACAAGCTCTGGCCTGAACTAAGGCATTTCCATATGCATTTTTATCATCTCAGTGAAAATAAATGGAAAAGAAAACACTTGAGAAAAGTAACTTTAATTTTCTTGTCTGAATTGTGATAAAGAAAAGTAATCCCTTTCAGAGTGAAAGAGCCAGAATAATTTTACAATAAACTTTAGGCTGGGTGTGGTGGTATACACATTACCCTGAGAGGATGAGGCATGAAGATTGCAAGTTTGAGCCCAACCTGGACAACATAGGGACTTACCAAGACCCTGTCTTAGCATAAAGAAAGAAAAAAAAAACAAGTTCAAGCCCTAGTACTACCAAAAAAAAAAAAACCCAAAATACAATTCTCTTATTTTACATTATGCCTAAAAGAAAAAAGTAATATTGAAGTGAAGAAATAGCAACCTGATGCTCAGCAAAAAAATGGGGGAGGGTGAACAAGAGCCAGGAGGCAGAGGCAGAACTTGCTTTACGAGATCTTTCTTAAGCACAAATGCTTCATACTGCCAAAGAACACAATTAAGGAAACAGGCGTATTCTCATATTAAGTTCCACTTTAAAAATGCAATGAACAGATGGGCATGGTGCACACCTGTAATGCCAGCACTCAGGAAACTAAATCAAGTCATGGTAGGACTCTATCTCAAAAAACAAAACCACAACAAATAGATTACAACATTTTCAAGTGTTGCTAAGTTGCTTATACAAACTCAAAGTCATAAGCATCACTTCAGGATCAGAACTTTTTATGTCAAGCGCTTTAACTAGGCAGTTTAAGGCCTCCTGTATTTTCCCACACTGTTTCAGTTCTTTTCCTCGAGTTATGAGAGTCTCGTAGTCATTTGCAGCCTCCATTGCATTATCCTGGGGAGAATCAACCATGGGTCCAGCAGACAAAGGGTCAGGAGCACCAGGAGAGGTCAGTAGGCTGGAGCCTAGTGGCTTAGACACAGTTAGCCCACCAGACTTATTTTCTGCAAACAGCCTTTCTGCAGAAGGATCTTCTGTATGCTCTGAAGCTTTGTCACTGCTTTCTTCTGCTCCTTCCTCCAGATCATCTCCAGTGCCCTCTGCTTTACTGCTGTTGTCAAGTCTTTCTTCCATATCCTCCACATGGTCTAAAACCACATTAATTAGAGACCTTCTAGAAGCTAAAGATCTCCTAGGGTTTACAGACTTATTTATACTATCAGATATTTTGGGTGAAAAGAATCTTCCAGGTAGACTATCATCTTTGGGAGTAGAAGCATCAAACTGTTTCACAGATGAGAACTGACAGAGAGATGTGCTGAAAGGACTTGTGCTTAAAGTACCTTTAAAAGAATCATCCTCACCTTCATCATCTGAAATGATCCTTCTAGCTTTGCTTCTGTTTTTAACATTAACTACCACTTCTTCTGGGTCATTGTCTTTCTTAGAAGAATCCAAATTACTATGCACAGATTCTGCACTAGACTTAGCTGCAGAGCCACACAAGCTATTTTCTTTCTCAACATACTCTAAAGACTGAGTGGAAAGATTTTGTGTATTGTCTGCAGAGTCTTCCAGGAAAAGATTGAAGTCACAAGCATATTGAGGTAAAGATGCTAAAGGCTCCCCTTCTGATTTGGCCTCATTTGCTTGGGCACCCTGCAGTACACTATGGGATGCTGACGATTCATTAGATATTTCAATAACAGATATATTTGATTTTGTGGTTTGATTTTCATTTGTTATGGGATTGCTGGGCCAGAGACCATTGTGATGTAAAATCTCATCATCCTGTAGATCTAGATTTGGTGCAAGATCAGCTTTGATTGATTGGCTAGTTAAATAATTTAAACTTCCCAAGGAGTTCTCTTGCAGTGCATCTTGCTCAGGCTCTTCTTGTAATGACTTTTTTTGCAGAGCTTCATTTTCAACAGCAAAGCTTTTTACGGTTCCCTGTAATGAGTCAGTCCAAATTTCTTCTACAGTTCCAAACTCTTTGGGTAAAGTAGCTACAGAGTCGGTATGAAATGTATTTTCACTTGAGTGCATACTATCTTGTATCATGGTCATATGCATCTTTATACTGGAGAAGTCTTGGTCCTCAGTGCTTAAATTTGCCATTTGAAAACTGATAACACCTTCCTGGGTAGGATGAGTAGTTGTGAGAGGTGAAGGCCAATGTTGTGGTTTCTTCAATTCAGGGCATTTCTTCTGTGCTTGAGAAAAAAATAAAGGTGCTACTGGCCAGGTCCCCTCATTTCCAGTTCTTTGTTTTTCCACTGTATTTTGAGACTCTAATTCAACAAGGAATTGAGCTTTCTGAACTCTTTGTTGAATATACTGAGATTCTTCAATCACATCAAGCTCTTCTTTAACAGACAGATCACGTGTATATATCAAATCATGGTCTGAAATTCCAGCTATTCCCAGAGAGTGTAGGTAGGTAATGTGTTCATCTAGGGTTTTATCAGATCTCCTTTGAGCAGCATGCAGAGATTGAAGCTGCAACTGAGTTACAGAGTTTTGAAGATCCTCAACTGTAAAGAGCTCTCTTAATTCTTGTTTACTGAAATAGCGATATGGATTCTTCTTATCACCAGTAGTTTGTCTGATTAATGAGCCCTTGAAAACCTGTCTTCTATATATTTTTTCCTCTACAGTCCCACAAGTGATTAGCCTATAAACCACAACATTTTGTTTTTGTCCAATTCGGTAAACTCTGTCCACAGCTTGAGCATCAGTTGCAGGGTTCCAGCTAGGGTCAAAAATGACCACTCTAGTGGCTGCAGTTAATGTTAGGCCAACACCACCCACTTGAGTGGTAAGCAGAAAAACAGAATAATCTTTATTTTGCTGAAATAAGTTAATCCTTTTTTCTCGTTCCAAAAGATGAGTAACTGTGCCATCAATTCTCAGTATCTTAAAATGCTCATTCCTTAAGAGGCGTTCAATGATGTTTAGAATTTGTCTTGATTGAGAAAATACTAGAGTTTGATGCCCTTCATCTCGCAGTCTCTTCAGCAAGTCAATTAAGAATATCATTTTTCCAGATTCTTTCATCAGTGTATCATCAGTTACATGAGCAATGGCATCCACATCTGAGGAATCTTCCTCATTTCCATCTTGACCAGAGATTTTGGCAGTCCCTAGATGTAGCAAACGACAAACCCGTGTAGACAGCAGCCTAGGATGATCACACAACTTCTTTAAAACTCCTAACTCAGCCAAAGGTGAGCGTGTCTCCATTAGCAACTCTTTGATGTGATCTAAAGACACAAATTTCCTGTATATTTCTTCTTGTAAAGGTACAAGACGTATCCAAATGATTAAATCATTTTTCCTGGAAAGAGAAGGCATTTCGCAGATGGCATCGATACCTGAATTATTTTCAGTGGGTCTGACCTTTGGGATGTTCGACTTTGTCTTCTGTACTTCTTCTTTAGTCCTCCTGAGAAAATAGGGTTTTATTATTTCCATTAAGTTTTCAGATATCTTAAGTCCCAAGGCTTTTTCCCCTGGAGTAGCATCCTTCTCTCTTGCTCTAACAATAGGATTTTCATATTCCATTTTAAAAGTTTTTAATGTTCCTAGCAGGGATCCTTGGCAAGCAAAATCAAATAGGGACCATAGTTCCTGTAAATTATTCTGGATCGGGGTTCCTGTGAGGAGGAGGCGATTACTTGCAGGGACAGCACGAGCACATATTGCTGATTTAGTAGATGAGCTCTTTATTTTATGTGCTTCATCAAGGATGACATAGTCCCACACAAATGCTTGGCCATTACAGCTTGAAAGCTGCTGCCAATTGTTGATTAACATTTGGTATGTAGTGATAACAACACCATTTCTTTGCTGAACGCGGTTGAGGTTTCTGGTACGTTCATCCTTGCTAGGGCCATGAAAGGTTTTGACTCTCATTCCTGGAGTCCATTTGGCAAATTCTTTTACCCACATGCTGATGAGATTGGTTGGCATGATTAACAGCACATGATTCACAAGTGAAGCATCAAACATACCAGAGAGAAAAGCAATGATTTGAACAGTCTTCCCCAAGCCCATATCATCTGCCAAGATACCTCCCTTTCTTCTATCCTTGTATAGACTGTAGAGGAAAGCTACTCCTTCCTTCTGGTGCTCAAATAGTTGGTTGTACAGTTCTCGATAAAGTAGCAGCCCAGAGTTGCATACATCTGTAAATTCATCATCTTCATGTTCTTCCAACTCTTCCAAGGCTTCCTGTAGTTTGTTAATTCTGCTCATTAGCTTTTCATTGGGAAAAATGTCCTTTGCGAAACTGAAAAGCTTAAGTGCTTCCTCCAGATCTCCATTCTTAGTTGCTTCTTTGGCCTCTTTCACATATCTACAAAAAAGGTAAAAAAAATTATACACATAACATCAAAAGAAAATAGATTCAACATTCAGTCTAAGAAAACTGTACAGTCCATTTCAGAATCCAAACTGTAGCTGAGTTTTTAACATCCTCAATTCTGGATGGGAAAGATAAGCACAGAAGATGCCAAAGAAAGCCGTCATATGTGAAGAATTCTCCAAACTTAACAGAAAAACCATACAATCCAGTTAGGAAAAGGCAAAAGACATGCACAGAAATTTCACTGGAGAGGATATATAGATGGCACAAAAAGATCACCAACATCACTTAGCTATTAAGAATGTGTCAAAACCACAATAAGCTGGGCATGGTGACACACACCCTGTATCCCAGCATATAGCAGTCTAAGGCAGGAGGATCACCTTGAGTTCAAGGCCAGCCTGAATTATATAGTGAGACCCTGTCTCTAAAATCACATTAAGAGTTTGGGATGTAGCTCACTGGTAAAGCACTTGCCTAGCACGTGGAAGATCCTGGGTTCAATCCTCAGGACTAGAGAAGAGAAGAGAAAAGGGAAGAGGAGGAAGAAAAGCAGAAACAAGCAGTAGCAGCAGCTGCTGCCATCACTTAAGACAAACAAAGAGCCAAGTGCAGTGGCACAGGTCTATAATCCCAGCAGTGTAGGACTTTGAGGCAGGAAGATCTTTTATTTATTTATATTTTGAGGCAGGGTCTAACTTTGTAGTTCAGGTTGGCCCTGAACTCACAACGATCCTCCTGCCTCCTGCTTCCCAAGTGTTGGGATTACAGGCATGTGCCACCACACCCGTCCAGAGACAGGAAGATCTTGAGTTTGAGGCCAGCCTGGGCTACATAGTTACTTCAAGGATAGTCTGGACTACACAGCAAGATATTACCTCAAAGCAAAAACAAAAACAAAAACAAAACAAAAAAGAATAAGAACTGAGTGCTTGGTTGTTGCGTGTGTGGGTAACATCCCTGCACATCTGGGTCAAAAATGATTTATGTTATAGCATATCTCACAGAATTAGAAAAAATCATTATAAAATTCATTTGGAACCAGAAGAGACCACAACCAGAAGAGAACAGCAAAGGTGATCTGGGCAACAAAGGCAAAGCAGGGGGTATCACAATCCCTGACTTGAAATTATACTGCAGAGCTACTGTGACAAAAACAGCATGGTACTGGCAGAAGAACTGACCTGAGGATCAATGGAACAGATTAGAGGATGCAGAAACAACTTCAGACATACTCAGCCACCTCATCTTTAACAAAGAAGCCAAACACCTTCACTGGAAGAAAGATATAGCCTCTTTAATAAATGGTGCTGGAAAAACTGGCTTTCTACATGCCGAACATTGAAACTAGACGCATATCTTTCACAACGCACATCTTTCACAATGCACTAACCTAAAATCGAAATGGATCTAAGATCTAAATATTAAAACAGAAACACTAAATCTGCTAGAAGAGAGAATAGGTAGAATGCTTGAGGACACAGGAGTAGGCAAAGACTTCAGACCACATGGGAAATGCTATAAAGAATCAACAGCTAGGACCTCATTAAAAAGCTTTTAGGGAGCTGGGTGTGGTGGCTCATGCCTGTAATCCCAGCACTTGGGAGGCTGAGGCAGGAGGATTGCTGTGAGTTCAAGACCAGCCTGGGCTACATAGTGAGTTCCAGGTCAGTCTCAACTACATAGTGAGACCCTGTCTCAAAAAAGAAAAAAAAAAAAAGCTTTTAGGGGCTGGGGATTTAGCTTAGTGGTTCCACTGCCTGCCCTGCAAGCACGCAAGCACAAGGATGCGAGTTTGATCCCCGGTACCAAA